TTAATAAATCCCCTCCTAATAACTTCACTTTTCTTTTATTTGTTTTCCCTCTCCAGTTGTAAGAATCAGAATAATTAACATATATAATGAATTAATTTATTCACATATATGTATATAAATTATTTAATACGTATAGTTATCCAATCGATTGATATTCTGATTTTCGTCGAAATACTATCGAAACACTCAATTTAGTTCGTGAAATTTTCTTCAAAATGGGATGTTACATAATTTTTTTTACAAACTATACAAATTGAAGCAAAGTAGATTGTACATTCATTTCGTACCTATCTTAAAAAGAGAAGTACATTATTCAAATTGTAAATAAGAGGGAGAACATAGTTTTTTATTTTGTTTTGGAGCACAGTGCAGAGCACACCTTCCTCCTCTATGCTTTAGTGTAGTCTTTTGAGCTATATCTAGATATAGAGTCAATTTACATGGTCCATTAGTTGAATCAATATTTATGGTCAGTTTAGAAAAATGAAACATTTACTAGAGTCCCACAACGAAAGTCACACCAGTTGAAGGCAACCATGAGCTCCCCTCGATGAAATTGCCGACGGTAAATTTGGCGGCTTCCTGGGGCCCGAGAGCATGAAATCTGGCCCACTTGACCCGGCCCGACATGCCGGCGCCTGGCCTGGAATTCGAGAACTCTCAGAAGTAAAGCGTCTTGGAGAAGGAGCCTTGGTCGGGCCACTCGGCCCATCCTTTGGAGGAAATGGTGGGGTCGATGCTGGACTGCATAACCACCGCCCTGGTGTACTGCTTCCACGGGCGGCCCAAGTAGCAGTCAAAGTTGGACTTGACCGGTGCGAGATCGGAGGCGGTGGAGATACGGCTGGCCTGGAGGGAGAAGCCGGTCGTCTGACCCGGATCCATCCTGCCGTTGGCGAAGACGACGTTGGAATTCCCGGGTCGGGGCCTGCGGAGGAGAATGTTGCAACTCTGGAAGACGGCGGCGTTGCCGAAGATGAAGTCGATGGTGCCAGAGATGTCGCACTCGCGGTAGAATTGGCGGAGGGCGAGGGCGTAGAGGGTGTCTTGGTAGCCGGTCATGCTGCAGCGATAGAAGACGGAGTGGTCGGATGCAGCGTAGAGAGCCACCGCCTGTTCTCCGGCGGGACCCGCAGTGTTCTGGAAGCCGATGTCTCTTGCAATAAATCCGTCGACTATGATAGCTGGGAAAGGCAGATGGAGGCAGGCAGGCAATCGATTATTATTTATTAATGTATTATTATATGTGGGAATTAATTAAGTTGGTCCAATTACATTTGTTAAAGAGCGACCCACTAACGATAACATAATGCCTTGCGCTATTCTAGGCCCGCCGCCCTAGGAACAGTCGAGTAATGTGGTAGAAGGGCAGAAGTCCTTCCTTTGTAAAAGGAAACGAAAACTAGAGAGTTTAATTGTAGTAGACACTACTCTAGCATTTGTAAGCGTTTTTTAGAGAGAGTAGTAACTGAATATGGCAGAGCCGGGCATGGTAGAGCCTCCATTGACGCTATCACGGCCAACAATCACAGTAGCATATTTACCGTCTCCCACCAAAGTGATGCCATCTTTGTTGGTGCGAATTTTCTCATTGTAAACTCCCGCCTTCACGTATATCACAAACCGACTCCGCCCAAAAGCCACCGCAATGGCTGCCGAGATGGTCTCTTTGTTTACAGTCCCGTCCTTGGCCACCACCGCGTTCGCCCTAATAACACAACCACCATCCTGCAGCAGCTTCCTGTTCTTCATGGATACCCATTCTGGAAATCCCATCCCACTACCACTAGTCGTACTTGTCTTATTAGCACTATGACTATGATCACTACTAGTGATCCTGTTGGCGAGGCGAGTGAGAGGGCTTTGCTGGTTAGCTGGAAGAGGTAACTCGTCTTCTGGGAGATGTGAGATGCGGTGTTGGCGGTGGACAGACTGTGGTGGATGGAATCTGCACAAGCTTGGTGGAAAGTTAGGACGGAGCTCAACCATGTCCGGATGTCATGTTTGCGTTTGGTTGCAGAATTCTGGAGAGTCGACAACGACTGATCAAGCCTTTGATGGGCAAAAATCAATATCCGTCAAGTAGAAAACAAAAAATGTCTGCAATCTGCCAAGGTAGAGGTAGAGCGGTTGGCAATTACTTGAGGCCGATTGGGCACGGCGAGCTTGGCTGATTTCCATGCGGGAGTCAAGGATGGTGAACTGGGAAGACGGCAGGTTGGTTTCTGAAATTGTTTTGCGAACAAGAGCTGACAACACGCTAACAGTAGTGTTAATCTGGCCCAGATGATCATGAACAAGCTGCTGCTTACTACTCCTGTGACTCTCGTTGAGCTCTACGACCAAGGCCTACCAACAATGGCCAGGATACCGTGTAAAATTGCAGTGCTTTAAGACATCATCGTGATCGGCTCCTCCAGCTCCTTTTGCCAGGCGCAGCCACGACAACAATACTACTACTACCTCCACCAATGATACCATTTTTATACTCCCCATATATTGGGTACACCTTAACGCGCGAATCTAATAATTAATAGAGGCCAAGTTTGGGATATTCCAAAGTGTCGATGAAGCTGAAATGAAGTATGATAAATCAAGTCACGATAAGAAAGTGTGTGAGTTATAAGGGCAAATGGTATTGAGATATATAGTGAAGGAAGTGTGTTGGGGATTTGGGCAAGTGCGCAAATTGGACCCGGAATTTAGCTTACCATAATCCTTAGTTTTGCATTTGTGTATAATCATATTTCATATATGATCCTTTGCATTTGTCCTGCAAGGTTTTACAAGTAAATTATGTAATATATATAATATATGCTTGTGTAATGCATAGTACTCTTACTTAACAATTATATAATAGAGCTAGCTACATATAGAATTATAGAATAGATAAGCAGCATTTTACCCGATGAATATTGACACTTATTTACAAGAGTGTGCACAACTAGATAGAAGCCTAGTTCACAACACTGTTACACTAGTGTGTAAAAAATAACTTTGATTCCATAAATTTTATGTAATGTATTTTTATTTTACGTAATCGTTATAGAATGGTGATATACTAGTTTTATGCAATTAAAGATTACGTTATGATTCCCTTTACATAACACATTTCAATAGACAACTATATTAAAATTATGTGACGTTCATAACTTCTATGTAAAATATTTATCGTTCTATTAAACAAATGGGATTATTAAGAGTAGGGATGTGTAAGGTTTGGGAATTGTGTGTATAATTACTATCACAAGGGGTATATATACCCAAGGAGTACAAGAGCAGTGTACTACTAGGAGTAAGAAACGTGTACACAAGCTAACTTAATGTACAAGTAAAACACTTATATCACTTATCCCTAATACGCACCCGCAAGATGGAGGCGGTGTCAGCAAACCTGATGTTGGACCGAAGGAGAAGTTTAACGTACTGCCAATGCACAACCCTGTGAGCATGCATGACCTGGGAAAGCCGATTAACAGCGAAAGCAACATCTGGACGAGTAGTGACAAGATACTGAAGCGCACCAACTTGATGATAAAGAGTAGCATCAGCTGACGAGGAACCATCAAACAGCCGCAGACGAGATGTAGACGAAAGCGGGGTAGAGCTCGGGTTGGCCTCATGAATCTGAAAACGAGTGAATAGATCAACCACATATTGGTGCTGAGACAGTAGGTAACCATGAACCCAGGAGAGTGAATCAGTGCGTTTTGACGACACTGAGTTCACAGACGCGTTTAGGTGTTCACGGCCGTGAACTGATCACTTTCGGGCAAATATGAAGACAACAGCAGGGAGAGAGAAAGGGAAGCTGGTTTTGTGGAGAGAAATTAATTCCCTCTCTAAGGTTTTGCCCAAAAACACCAAAGGGGAGTTCTAGTGAGAGAGAGAGAGTGCTAGAGTGATCTTGGAGCATCATTGGAGGCTTAGGTGGAGGATTCAAGCCTAGAAGAAGAAGAAGATCTTGAGCTCAAATTTGTAATCCCTCTCTTCTCTCTCTCTAGAAACTCACTCTTTTCTCTTGGGTGTTGTAGATCCCTAACTAATCCTCTTTGTAATTACTTGTTTAGATTGAATGACTTGGTGTGGGTTTGCATCCATTTGAGTATTAGATGTGTCTTCATGGTGATTGTGCCTAACCTAGATTAGAGAAAACCCACAACTTTTTAGGTAGATTTCACACGCTTGGTTTTCCTGGACACTTTGTGCATACTATCTAGGTTAGAGATGAGCATCCCCCTTGACTCAAGTTTGCATCTAGGTTGGTTGTGATTAAGCCGCTCAAACTCCGGTTTGAGGGAGAGACCTAGGCAACCCCTAGAGACTGAGTGAGAGGATCAATCCCGTGATAAATCGATCTCTAGTGAATCCATCGCGTGACAAATGGATCACTAGTTGCTCCTCCTAGCGGTTCCCCTAGACTTGGTGAGTGGATAGATCCCGTGACAAATCGATCGCTAGTGAATTGATTCCGTGGCAAATCGATCACTAGTTGCTCACCCCCGCAGTTCACAACCACCTACACCACACGACTCCATTCAATCCAGCGAGTCATGGTAGCTATTTAAGGGGAAGCAACTCCTGGGTGAAGCTCTGGTAGTTAGAATTTTCCTTTATCTACTTTCCTTGCTTGTTTTCATTTGTAGTTTTCATAGTTTTAAAACCAAACCGTTTTGCTAGATAACAACTTAAGCGATTGAAGTAGGGGTACATGGACCGGTTGAGTTGATAATTTAGATACTTGCCCTATACTTCACCCGACTACAGTTTAAAACTTGGGCTCTAGTTGGGATTAATTTGTGGTGTAGTTCTGAGCGAGTCAGGCAGCGGATTGCATAAGCCAAGGATCTGCAGCAGGAGCAAAGGTTCGATGTGAGGTAGCGGTAGTGGTGGTATTTGCCTACAGTCGCTTGTGAGGGAAGAGCTGATAGCATTGACGAACAAAATGACCCAAGTTCTCTTAGTATTGGCAGATAACACAAGCAGGGAGGCGATTATCATCACCGCAAGGAGAGTCCCAGGATACGCCCGATAGGGGCATAGAAGGAAGGGTGGACCGCCAGAACCGCGCCAGCAGAGCCACCATGGCGGCCACAGCCACAATCACATTGAGTGGCGAAGGCAGTAGCTGGAGAGTCAGACTTTGTGACACGGAGATCAGCTTCGAGTGTGACCAGTCGTTCCAGATCTTCAATAGGAGGACCAGAGTCGCGAGGATGGATAGCAGCAAAGAACTCGTGATAATCAGGTCCAAGGCCGTGCAGGCACAATGTGACCAACTTGGCATCCGTGATAGGAGCAGCAGCAAGAGCAAGCCCTGTAGCATACATGCATAACTGCTGAATAAAGGAGACGAAATCGCGGTCACCCTTCGTCTCGCCATACAAACGGTCGTGAAGAGTCACAACCCGAGATTGAGAGACCCAACATAGATGCTTTGAAGAGTCGACCTAGCCGTGAAAGACGTGGCGGACGAGCTGATGAAGGGTAAGATACTTTCAGAAACAAAGGTAAAGATGCTATTCAAGAGAAGCTGGTCTTGACGATAGCAGCGGACGTAAGCAGGGTTTCGGTCGGAGGTACCATTGACCATGACCGTGGTGGCCGGTGCAGCGAGAGATCCATCAAGATATTCGGTGAGATCGACACCAGCCATGAGAGACATGAGCTAGATGCATCCACTACAACAAATTCGGCCTATTATGACGAGGCGATTTTGTCATATTAGATACCAATTTTGTCATATTAGGTATAATATGACAAAATGTGTTGTCACAAAGGTTTGTCATTTTATCGCCGTCAGGATAGATCAAATGTGACAAAAGTTTAAAACAAGGTTGTCACATTTGCTTTCAGTATAGTTGAGGTTTTGGGTAGTCTATTGTGACAAACATATATGTTATGACGACATATATTGTCATTGCGGTTGTCATAATCTGGTGATTTTGGGACTAGTTTTCGGAAAAACTAACACATTATAAATTAAAAAAAAAAAACTTCCAACGTACCCAGATTATGGCCTAGATCTTTGCCAAAGAAGATATATTTCAAGTTTTGGATTCTGCTAAGTAGCACCACACTCATTCAATTAATTGCGTTCAAGCATCAACCACTATATAAAAAAAACTCAAATCTCATTGGTACAAACGACAAAGAAAAGTACAAACAGCGAGAGCTCGATGCGATGACATTCAGATGCGGAATAATTGAAGAAAGTCCCCAAAAAACCCCAAAAAAACCCAGAACCCAAAAGTATTCTCGATTTGCTCGCCATAGCAAAGGATGAAAGGAAAAGCTCGTGCAGAGAGCTCAATTCCAGATCTGGAAGTAGCGGAGGAATGGAAGAGGAAGAAGACGCCTTCGGACGGACAAGGATGACGACACTACCACGCAACAACTCGACATCATCGCCGCCTAGACAGCCCGCTACAGCTCCTCCCCCCAACTCCTGCGTTGAACCAGATCCGGCCGCCGCTTCTATTCTCTTTTCATCCTTGCGATCAGCACCCTAAAATGAAAAAAAAAAACATAATAAACATCAAGAAAAACAAAATCAAACAAATAAACCTTATTTGCATGAGGCAATCTTACCGGGACAATGACCTATGTAGTCGGATATGAGCTTCCTGCCGGCGACGGAGAAGATAGGTCCTCACCGGGGTACAAGATATGAATAAAAGCATGAAGAACGAACCACTCACACTCAATCAGTGGAGTCAGGACCATTTGATGCGAAAAGATGTGCACATTCACGCTCAATCCTAACGTCCCTTTTAACCTAAGGAACAATCCTTGCTTTGAAAAACTACGTCAACCACTCACTTTTTCATTCTTAGAAAAACCATACACAAATCACTCATGTGGAACCTCATTTAAGCTCATATGGTATGAATGGAGCTTTCAAAAACAAGAGTGACTCGATAACGGTGTAGACACGAAGAAAGTAGGGTCGCTCTATCTAATTTAATCAAGCTCAGGTAGCAAAAACTACCTAAAACGAGAGTGACCCTTATCCACACGGCTTGAAAGGGTGCACTAATGGATAATATGATCAGGTCGGTCAACTTTTGGGCCATGGACTAATCCTATGCCTCCATCTTCCTTGCTAGCAACAACGTGAATGCTACACATCTTGTAAAGGGGGATATATCACACAAGAATGAAACGAATGACAGAAGTCTCACATGGCTACCTAGGTGCTCAATCATTTGTTCTAACTCCTTAAACTCGGTGCATAAGCAACTGTGAAAAGCGAGTAATTGATTAAAAAAATCAAGCGCTTCACAAAAACATGAGAACTGAACCTATACACAAACCTAATACAAGTCTTGGTCGTCATCATAGGATGCACACAATCACAATCATATCATCCATAAACAATGCTAATAACCAAGAAATTCAAAACAAATCACCACAAGTGCCACTATGATCAGGAAATGTAGAAGTTGTTATGCTTGGAGCCCTCAAATTTTTAAAAATTCGGGCCTACAACAAGCCTCCAAGCACTCAAAATCCCACCAATAATTCACACACACAAGCATAATGTACTACCCTCCCTCCCCCCCCCCTCCCCCCCCCCCCCCACACACACACATACACAAACACATTTAAGCTCAACATTGCCCTCAATTGCGTAAAATAAGGAGGTAGACGGATGTTACCGGATAGGATGTGAATGTTAGTGATCGAGAGCGGAGGGCGGGCGAGATCAGGTGGAGTAAAGCCACGGAAATACACCACCAAAATCTCTATAATGGTCTTCTTATTAAAAGGAAAAGAGATGCAAACTGTTGGAATGGGTTTCCTCCCATCAAGCGCTTCTTTAACGTCGTGAGTCAGATGGTTGCTCTTCAAGTTTCGGTCCATCCAAGAACCTCCTTGAAGTTGAGGTTCTCGTTTGTGAGGTGGTGTCACAAGTCACGAGATTTGGACGAATCCATGATTGAAGGCTCGTGAACTTGAATTATCATGAGGCTCCACCCACAAGACATCTCCTTCTTTCCTTCTTCATTCTTCTCCTTGCCTTATTCCATGTAGTGAAAACTCGCTTGACTTCCATCACATCCGCCAAGGGGGATCACCGATGGTTTGGCCTTGGCTTGGATAAGAGCGATAAACGGATCCTTTTCCAAAAGTGCATCAAGGTCGGGTGGAAAGCTTTTATAGCACTTGTAACTTGTAGATGCTTCATCCACCTCGACTTCGTCCTCATCTTGGACACCATTTTCTCCTTCTACTTCATCTTCAACCTCCCTTCCTTCTTCTTCAATTTGTTCCTCCCCTTGGGAACAATCAAGATCTTCCTTCTCTTTAATGCTCGCTTTCTCCTCTTCAGCCACTTCCTTCTCCATCCCATTCATCTCTTCAAGCATGGCTTGGAGGGCAAGATACCATGCAATATCATAGAAAGGATTCTCCAGCTCCTCCACACTCGTAACTTGGTCTTAAAAGTTTCTCTCGAGAAGGGGAAAGTGATCAGATTCGTCAATGCAACCTTCTTGTTCATCCTCACCACAGGAGCTCTCCGAGGTGAGTTCTTCTTGCTCTACATGGTTTTCATTGATCGCTCCTTCAACCTCCTCTTTCTCTTCCATTGATGAGAGGCAATAGCTTGCACAAGCTCGTGTCACCTTCTCTTCAAGTGTCAAACCGGATGGAGGGAGGGGTTTGAAATCCGTGTTGGAGCTTGTTCTTTCAAATTTCTCCATGGCAAGCTCCACCTTAAACTTCACCTCGGGTTGGGGGAGATCCAAGTTCGAGTGCCCTTCGTCGGTGCCTCGAGCAAACCGCTCCACCATAAGCTCCAATTGGCTTTTTGGCTCTGGTTGTGGAATGGAAAATGGTCTTGAGGATTGTCCCATGAAAGTTTCCATTGCTAACTCCAACTTGGATTTCTCCTCGACTTGTGGAGGGAAATCTTCTTTGTATGGGTGATTCGGGCCTAAATGTACAACTTTTATCCCCGTTTCTCTTTGAGGTTTGTGGCATTTGAGCTCCTATAAGGGTGGTTTTACGCTAGGTTTCTAGTGTTTCAATGTGTTTAAGAGTTCAACAGGTGAAACCAACCCCAAACCGAAAGTTGGAAGAAAAGGAGCAAAGAGGAGTTTTTAGCCGAAGTTCACGGTCAAAGCTTGGAGTTCACGGTCGCCAGGACCGTGAAGTGGAACCATAAACCGTGAACCGCAAAGCGTCCAGAGGGGTTTCAGAGGTTACTGACGCCGCGACAGGCGTCAATGTACCGTGAACCCCAGAAGTGAAGCGACGCGTTTTGATCAGAATTCACGAACGCGGCCTGATGTTCACGGCCATGAACTGGGTCCGTGAACTGGGTGCGATCTTAGTATAAATAGAGAGCTGAAAGGAAGAAGAAGGGAGAGCCCAAAGTGACAGAAACCTTCTTCTTCTTGAAACCCTAGTGAGAGCAAGCACGAACCAAGAGGGAGAAGAGAGGATCTCTACAAGCACAAGGAGAGTTAGAGGAATCACAATGATGGTTTCTTTCTTCATCCTTTGTTTTCTTCCTTTATCTAGCATGGAGTTGTTTCCCTTTTCACTTGGGTGTTGTAGAACCCTAACTACTAACATGTAATTGATTATGTGGATTGAATGATTGCGTGAAGGTGGTGTTTAATTTAAGAATTGAGGTATTTTTCATGGTGACACTGCATTGTGTGTGTTTGGCAATCTATTGTGCTATTCTAACGTAGCTTAGAGAGAAGCCCCCTTATCTTAAGAGGCTCAAATTGAGCTGGGTTTTCTTAGGCAATCCATGCCTCCTAACTAGGTTAATGAAGGGCAAACCTCTAACTTGAATTAGACACCTATGTTAATTATGATTATGCCGTCCAAACCTTAGTTTGAGGGAGAAGGTAAGTCAACCCTCCATTTCTTGGGCCAAGAGGACTACAATTGTAGCCTATCACGTTTCCCTTGGCATAGCAATTGAGAGGATGATTTCTAACCATTGTTGCACCTCCTATGGGTCGCAATTTTCTTGTCATCCACCGGTTCATTAGATCCCACAGTTCATGGTAGTTAGTTAGGGGAAGCAACTCCTGAGTGAAGCTTCCACCAAGATTTTTACACCCTTATACTTTTCAAGTCTTGCTTTTAAATAGTAGATTGTAGAGATTTCAACAAACAACATTCCGCTAGATAATGTTTCAAACAATTGGAGTAGGCGTACATGGGCCGGCCTAAGTTGATATTTAAACATACTAGCCCTATATTGTACCCATATAAGGTTTATACAGGGCCTTAGGCGGGATTTTATTGTGATAGTCGGAGCGAGTCAAGTTTTTGGCGCCGTTGTCGTGGAACTTTTGTTCGT